ACCTTCTGATCCCACTTCGGAACCAGTCATTGCTTGCCACTCTACTACGCTTTCGTGCCCGGCTGTTTCCTCGAGTTCTCTGACAGGCCTCCACATCCCCTCATTCTCTAGGAACTTAGTGGGTGTGCGGCTGCTCGTGAGTCAGCACGTTGGTGTTTGGTTTGAGCCTTCTTGGGACTCTGCGACCTGTGTGGACGGTGACACATACGCCCCTTGGCCACATTTCACTAGGAACCAGGTTCTGGTCTCTACACGCTTCACACTGGCCCCTGAGAGAGGCAGCAGCAGCAGCAGCAGCTGTTGCCTCCGACCCCCTATCACTGCCCCCCATCAGGTCCTAGCGTCCCACCAGGTGGCTGTGTCTGGTCTGGTTACGGCGTCTGGTCCGGTCACTGCTTCTTGCTCATGTCAGTCGCTTGCCCACCCCACCGTTCTGTGGCACCACTGTCTTGGTCACCCATCCCTTCCTCGCCTTCGCCCTATGTCTAGTCAGCGTCTTGTCTTAGGCCTCCCGCGAGTCTTGCCTTCGCTTGCACCACCTTGCGGCCCTTGTGTCGAGGGTCGGCTGCGCGCCACCCCTCACTCCTCCTCCCTTCGTCCGGCCACCGATCCCTTCGAGACTCTCCACTTGAACGTCTGGGGCCCCGCCTCTCGCCCCAGTCCTGAGCGAGAGAGTTTCTTTCCGGTGGTCATTGACGACTACTCTCGCTGCATCACCGTTTTCCCTTTGGCAAAGAAATCCGACGTGACTTCTACGCTGATCCGGTGGTTGCTCGCCACAGAGGGTACTCGTCACCATCGTGTTAGTTGTCTTCACTCCGACCGTGGGGGTGAGTTTTGCTCCGGCGTCCTTGCCGGATTCTGTCGCGAGCAGGGCATCCTCCAGTTCTGGACGCTTCCAGAGTCCCCACAGCAGAATGGGGTTGCTTAGCGCCGCATAGGCTTCGTCATGGAGATTGCACGCACCTCCATGATCCCGCGCGCCCCATTTTCTGTGGCCCTACGCGGTTCAGTACGCCGCTCACCAGCTGAACCTCTGGCCACGTGTCTCCCGGCCAGGGGTTTCACCGACAAGTCTTTGGATTGGGTTCCCTGGTGTTGCGTTGCGTTTCATGTCTGGGCTGCTTGGTGCTTGTTCGCGACACCTCCGCGGACAAGCTCTCTCCTCGCGCCCTTCCGTGTGTCTTCCTTGGTTTCCCAGAGGACTCGTCTAACTTCACCTTCTACCACCCTCCCCTTCACCGGTTCCTTGGTTCCCGTGACGTCAATTTTGACAAGTCAGTCCCCTACTACACTCGGTACCCATGTCGAGGTCTCCCCGTTCTTACTCCCCCTCTCTTCCTGACTCCCACTCCCCCTCCTGCTCCCCCCCCCCCTTGGTCCAGCCCCGTCAGGTGTGTCACACGCTCCCCCCCCCCCCCCCCCTCCCTCAGTAGCCCCTCAGGTCCCGTCCCCTTCTCCGCAGTCCTCCTCACAGTCACCGCAGCAGCCGTCAGCACTTCTTCCACAGGCTGCTGCAGACCCTAAGGGTGCTGATGTCCGTAGTGCGGACCCTGGAGGTGGTGTGTCTCTGGAGGTGTTGGAGTTGGAGCTGAGAGTGTGCCTGCACGAGGTTCTGGTGCTGGGGGTGCTGGAGATGGAGCTGAGCCCGTATCTGCAGTAAATTCTAGTCTTCGGGGAGCTGGTGTCCGTTGAGCTGTCACTGGAGGTGCTACGACTGGGGGTGCAGGTGCGCCCTCTGCTGGACCTGGAGAGCCCGGGACTGGTCGAGTTGCTGCTGGCGGTGCGGGCTCTGGGGGTGGTGCGATTTGTGCTTTGGAGAGCGGTCCTGGAGCTACCACCGCCCCGGACGCTACTCCTCCCCCCCACCCCTACCCGACCCGGCACCAAGCCCTTCTTTGTCGTGCACGTGAGGAGGAGCTGGAGTTGGAGCAAGAGAGGCTAGCGTTGGAGCGGCAGCAGCCGCAGCAGCAGCAGCGGCTGCAGCAAGAGCAGCACCAGCAGCAGTGGCCGCCTACGCCTCCTGTCTCTGGCCTTCAGGCATTACTTGGTCTCCCCTCCCCTTATCCTCCCTCCTCCCCCTCTCCTCCTGTCTACAGTCCCACGTTTCCTCCTCCTGACCCCACCTCGGCTGTTTTCCCCTGTTCTCAGCCTCCGTTGTCCCTCCTCTCTCTCACGCTTGGGCTTCTCGCTCTCCTCGTGCTCGTCCCTTGCCCCTTGTTCCCGTCACTGACCTTCGTACTGTCCTATTTTGTTCTAGTTCCCCTCGTCCGTCTCCGTCTCTGCTTCCTTCTCCCCCTGGGTTGGCCCTTACTACTTCCCTCTCTACTCCTGTCACTGAATACTACCGCACGTACCATCCTGTTCTCTCTCGTGTTCTCGCCTCTCTTGTTACGGACCCTCATGCCTCTCTGTCCTCTGTCTCCGCCCTTACTGCCACTGTCACTGAGTTCGCTGCTACTCGCCGCCTTGACTACGCCACTAGTGTCATGGCTGCTCCTCCTACCAGTCCTTTGGCCATCGGGGGTGGGTCTGCCCTTGGCTGTGACGCCCTAGAGGACAGGCAGTTTGAGCTAGAGTTCCTAGCAGCCGCTTCCCCTCATCTTTGTGTCATGCTCCTCTCCTATGTCGACGAGGTTCCCCCTTTGGGGATGAACATAGTCGATGGCATGTAGATCTTCAAGGTGAAGCGGCCACCGGGATCTCCTCCGGTCTTCAAGGCGCGTTATGTGGCTAGAGGTTTCAGTCAGCGCGGAGGTGTTACTTCTTTCAGACCTTCGCGCCTACCCCAAAGATGACCACTCTTCGGGTGTTACTTCACGTGGCAGCACAGAGAGACTATGAGTTACACTCTCTCGACTTCTCCACTCCCTTCCTTCAGGGTAGCATACACGAGGAGGTCTGGCTGCGTCGTCCCTCTGCCTTCACTGGCAATTTCCCTCCTGGGACCCAGTGGAGGCTCAGACGTCCGGTCTACGGTCTCCGTCAGTCGCCTCGTGAGTGGTACGACACTCTTGGCTCTACCCTGTCTTACCCTGCAGGCCAAGGTAACCGTCATCTACTGACCCGTTGCTGTTTGTTCGTCACGGCTCCACACCTTTCTTTGTACCGGTCTACGTCGACGACCTGGTCTTCGCCACTGCTGACACGGTTGCTTTGGCGGTCATGAAGTCCGAACTGCAGAAGAGACACACGTGCACTGACCTTGGTGAGCTGCGCCACTACCTTGGACTGCAGATCACCAGGGGCAGAGTAGCTCGTACCATCATTCTGACCCAGTCACACATGGTGCAGCAGGTTCTTCAGCGGTTCGGGTTTCAGTTCTCCACTTCGCAGCCTTCTCCTCTTGCTGTCGACCACAGACTCACTGGACCCTTCCCTGACGAGCCGTTTGAGCCTAGTGGTCCTTACCAAGAGCTTGTGGGCTGCCTCATGTATCTGATGACTTGTACTCGCCCGGACCTCGCCTTCCCTCTCAGCATCCTTGCCCGCTTTGTTGCGCCAGGGAGACACCGTCCTGTTCAATGGACAGCTACTGTGAGGGTGGCGAAGTACCTAGCGACGACATCAGGCGTGGGGCTGGTGCTTGGAGGGAAACAGCTTGTCGTGCTCACTGGCCACTGTGACTCTTCTTACGCCGACAACGCGGAGACTCACATGTCCACGCAGGGGTACTCTTTCAGTCTAGGCTTCGGAGCTGTGTCGTAGAGGTCTACTCGTTCCTCCTCTGTCTCGACCTCTACTACTGAGGCCGAGATTTACGCTGGAGCTATGGCTGCACAAAAGTTGCGTTGGTTGACCTTCTTGCTCACTGACCTTGGTGAGCGTCTGAGCTCTGCAGCGACCTTGTTCTCAAACAACAAGGCGATGAATCTCCTGTGTCGAGAGCCTCGATTGGAGAGCAGAGTAAAGCACATCAGCGTCAGGTACTTTCTTATTCGAGAGTTGCAGAGACGTGGACAGGCTCGTTTGGACTTCACGGGCTCCAAGGCCAACACAGGAGACGTCTTGACCAAGGCCCTTCCGCCTTGTGACCACCACATGTTTTGTGTGCAATTAGATTTCGTTGACACAAGTTTTCGTCTTGTGTAGTCTTGTGTTGTCTGCTTGCTATGTTTATACTCGTTACATATACCTCTGTGAACTCTTGGACTGGCCTTGTGGCCTCTTGCTTGTGCTCGGACTGTATTGTGACGTTGTGATCCACCTTGAGCTTTGTCTTTTTGTGACTGGTCTTGTGACCGTACGGTTTGGTTGTTGCATGACACCCTTCACTTAGACTATGGGGGTGTGTCAAATGTTGTAGCGTGTAGTGAGGCATGTCATGTGGGTTACAGTTGTTTGGGTTAGGTATATGTACCCCAACTTACAGTAATACACGCAGTATTCTGTTTCTGACATGCAGGGTCCTCATTATCAGACATTTTTGTTTTGTTTGTTTGTTTGTTTGTTTGTTTTTTTTTTTCTGAGTTTTCAGACGTGTAGTTTTCAACTAATATGATTTTCCAAAAATGGGTTTCTTGGTATATCTGATTGATCAGAAATAATAACATGTTTTCATCTTATTCATTTGAACTTTGTGTGATTGTGATTCATTGGTTATTGCAGAATATGCAGAAACCAGTACATCACATTTCACTCAGTAGCATCGTTTTGTCCCCGGTAGCGGCCTCAGCAGCCGCTACCGGGTTTTTGCTCCGTGCATGCGAGCTCTCCCGCTCCGCACTGAACCGCCCGAAACCGAGCACGCCAGCGACAGGCTGGCGTGCTCGGAGATAGCGGGTTCCATACCAGCCAACCCCCCGAGTATCGCTGACAGCACCGCCGCTAACAGCACCGCCGCTAACAGCACCTCCGCTGACTGCACCGCGCTAATGTTTTAGGCGCCTCGATAACAGCACCGCCGCTGACGGTGCCGCCGCTCGCGGGCTTGGAGGAACCTTCGGAGCCTAGCCGCGCTTCGGAACCGACCGAATTAAAAGCCTTTTGAACCGACACAAATGTCATCGAAGGCAGCTGAGCCGCGGCGGTCGCTGACGGCAGCGGAGCTGGCGGGATACAGCGCGCTCCCCGTGCACTCGTTCCTCGGCCTGCGCTTCCTCTCTGCCTCCCCGCATCGCGTCGTCGCCACTCTTATCTCCTCGCCCCAATCAGCTCAGGTAAAAACGAACCCTTTTCATCTCCCTAGTCCTTCCCACCCCTTCCCCTCCGCGTCCCCCCTCCGTCCCACCTCCTTCCCGCCTAGTACTTCCAACTCCCTGTTAATGGTTACTGCTCGTGTCCTTCTGGGAGGCGCGAAGGTGCCATCGTGCGTTGCGCTCTCCCCGTGCACTCCATCCTCGGCCTGCGCTTCCTCTCCGCCTCGCCCCATCGCGTCGTCGCTACCCTCACCTCCTCGCCGCAGTCTGCTCAGGTAGTGACCCCTCTCACCTCCTTTGCAACTGTCATCTCGCGTCCCCTTTTGGGAGGCGCGGCGATGCCCTGCGCTGCACTCCCCGCGCACTCCTTCCTCCGCCTGCGCTTCCTCTCCGCCTCCCCTGACCGCGTCGTCGCTACCCTCACCTCCTCGCCCTCCTCCGCCCAATTACAAGAAACGAAACTCTTCTCCATCTCCTTATTATCCCCTTCTTTTCCTCCGCCTCTCCTGCTCCTTGCCTCCTTCCCACCTCCTTCCCCACCTCCTTGCTAGAAGTTATTGTAGGTGATGCCCTTTCTGGGGGGGGCGTGTCATCATTCGCTGCTCTCCCGTTCACTCGTTCCCCAGCCTCCGCTTCCTCTCCAAATTCCCTCATCGCGGCATAGCTACTCTCGTCTCCGCCCTCCTCCACGCTCCGGTACTACTCGCCCCTTCAAATCTCCTTACCACCCCCTTTGGCCCCCCGGTTGGCCCGCTCCTTGCCACCCGCTCCTCACCTCCTTGCCACCCGCTCCTCACCTCCTTGCCACCCGCTCCTCACCTCCTTGCCACCCGCTCCTCACCTCCTTGCCACCCGCTCCTCACCTCCTTGCCACCCGCTCCTCACCTCCTTGCCACCCGCTCCTCACCTCCTTGCCACCCGCTCCTCACCTCCTTGCCACCCGCTCCTCACCTCCTTGCCACCCGCTCCTCACCTCCTTGCCACCCGCTCCTCACCTCCTTCCCACCCGCTCCTCACCTCCTTCCCACCCGCTCCTCACCTCCTTCCCACCTCCTTCTCGCCTCTCCTTGCTGGTAGGTGTTGCTGGTAGGTGTTGCTGGTGTCCTTCTGACTGGCGTGGCGGTGCCATGCGTTTCTTTCCCCCTGCACTCCTCCCTTCCTTGCCCCGCGCTTCCTCTCCGCCTCTGCTGTGCGTTCCTCTCCTTTCTCCTCTCCTTTCTCCTCTCCTTTCTCCTCTCCTTTCTCCTCTCCTTTCTCCTCTCCTTTCTCCTCTCCTTTCTCCTCTCCTTTCTCCTCGCCTCCTCGCCCTCCTTCCCTCAGGTGATGGTTACCGCTTTCCTAAGTGACCAAAAACGCTTTTGCCTTTAAGCGTATAGCGTTTATCCGCTTGCGTATACACGCAAAACGCTATATGCTAACAAATACGCAATACGGTCGGGGGTTTTTTTTTGGGCTGCCCAAAATCGAAAATTTTCGAGTATATCTAGAAAGTCCCGTCTTCTCACGGCGAAGTAGATGCCGTGCTCGAAATGCACGTCCGAGGTCTACCCTGGCCTGGACGTGCCTTCAATGTGTGGAGGTGAGTTTGTTTCCGTGCTTTCAATTCGCGGCGCCGGGATTGTGAGTTGGGTTACGTTGCACCAGTCTTTGGAGTTGCGATGCCCTTGACATTTCACATTGGGGTTCCACCAATTTCAACCGCTCTCGATCTACAACCTCCCTCCAATCCAACTTTGTTCCCACCAACAAATCCCATGCTACTTAACAAGCAGGTATAGTTCTATCTCGTCAATTCATCCTCCCGTCATTGTTCAGAGAGCTCCTTAGAATGGCCTCTGCAGTTGTTAACCCGACCCAGCCCACTCCCCCTCCTAATACCAGCACGGCCAGTCCTGTTCTTGCGACGCGAGTTTACCTTCCAGATGTCGACCACGAGGTGTTCAAGCATTTCCGCCTCATAAAGGTGGACGAGGGGAAATCGCAGCAGTACGAGTGCAGGTACTGCTGCAATGTTTTTTCTGGTGCTGCCATCCGCTGCGCGCAGCACTTGGCGAGTTCGCGGAAGATGAAGCGCCGCGAAGTGGCGCTATGCAAGGAAGCCCCCCCTGAAGCGCGGGCTGCCATGCGGAAGAAGTACGAGGCTAAGGCTGCAGCGGCGGCTCAGCGCCGACAGGCGACATCGGAAGCCATCGCGTCGGTCACCAGCAGCGGCAAAAAGAGCCGCATTACTGACTACTTGGAGACGGATGCGGCAGCTGGGAAGCGCGATGCACATGAGGCGTTGGCGCTCATGTTCGCGGGGTGTCGCATCCCTGAGCGCGTCGCGGATCACCCTCTCTTCATCAACGCCGTTTGTGTCATTAGGGACGCCGGCATAGGATACGTCCCACCAGGGAAGGGGTTCATCGGCGGGGCAGGCTTGCGACTGTGTTGCGACAACATCGAGAGGGGGCTTTCTGGAGTGAAGGCGAGCTGGAAGCGGACCGGCGTGACAATTGCTTCTGATATGATGATCGATAAGAACGGTCGCCCCCAGGCGAACGTGTTTCTCGTCAACGAGAGTGGCGCGGTGTTCAAGGACTGCGTGGACTGCCGCATGGAGAGCAAAACCGGCGGTTACATCACCAGCATCCTCAGGCCCGTGGTGGAGGAGGTCGGTCCGGAGAACGTGGTGGCGTTCTGCACGGACGGTGGGTCCAACTACGCGGTGGCGTGCAACCAGTTGATCGCGGAATGGCCGCACATTCAACACGTGCCCTACGGCACCCACGTGCTGGACCTCTTCATGGAGGACGTCGGCAAGATACCGTGGGCCAAGAAGGTGGTGGACCCTGCGGGCGATATCAGCTCCTTCGTCCACAACCACCACTGGACGAGGGGATACTTGCGGAACCCGGAAATGGTGGGTGCAAGGATGTTGCAGGCGCTGAAACCGGCGGGAACAAGATTCGGGACACAATACATTGTTGTGTCCCGTCTCTGTCAACTGCGGCAGTCGCTTGCACAGATGGTGGTGTTTGATGTGTGGAAGGGCTGGGCAATTGGGGAGAGGAAGAAGCCTGCGGAGAAGTTTGCAGCGCAAGTTCTTGATGACGCGTGGTGAAAAACAGCGGAGTTTTTGTGCAAGCTGATGAAGCTCCCGTTCTTCGCAATGCGTAAGATCGATGCGGATGCCAAGGGGATGATGGGCCGTATGTATGACACAATGTTGCAGTTGACTGGGGATGTGGGGACAGTGGTGGTGGAGGATGAGGAGCAGCTCTCCTACTCCGACAAGGTGCAGATCCGCCCCCTGCTGAAGAACAGGTGGGACGGCAGCCTCGCCTGCCCCATGCACGTTGCGGGCCGGATTCTCAACCCGGCGAACCAGGATGAGGACATCTTCGGCTCAGACGCGGAGTGCACAAAGGTATTCAAAGCGTTCATCACTCAGCACGCCGAGCACCTTTGCAATCACGGGAAGGAGGGGGATGATGGGGATGACATTGGCGAGGTTTCTGGATATGAAGGGAAGCTTCGGGATGGGGGATGCAATTGCTCAGAGGAACTTGGTCAAGGAGGGCAAGTATGACATGGTAAAGTGGTGGTAGTGGCACGGCACTAACGCACCAAAGCTGGCGGCCCTCGCCATCAGGACTCTCTCTCAGCCCGTGTCGGCTTCACCATGTGAGAGGGGATGGTCAACGTGGGATGGGGTGCATACGGCCCACCGGAACCGGCTTGGCTCTGCCAAGTGCCGGGATTTGGTTTTTGTTGCGCACAACTGGAACGTTGTGCGCAACTGGCATTCTCGTGCAGATGTCATGCCGGGTGTGGTGCTCGGGAACATGCCGGAGCCTCCCGTGCCCGAGGGCTACAATGTGGTGGAGGGGGGCGAGGAGGAGGAGGAGGGGGAAGACGACATTCTGGAGGATGAGTATGAGTATGAGTAGGTGGCGTAATTGATGGAGTAGCGTGAGTAGTAGTATGTGTAGTAGTAGTATGAGATGAGTATGTGTCATTGTAATGTTGGTGGTGAATAATTTTGAGTCGGGAAAAAAATCCGGGAAATCCAACCCCTGTGGAAACTGACCCCAGAAGTATATGGGGGGGGTCTTAATTTCGCTGCCCGAACTTTTTTTTAACCTGCCCGAAATAACGTATCGAGGGTCTCGGGACCTATGCGTATAGCGTATAAACGCGTGCGTATATACGACACGCGTATATACGCTAAACGCGTATATGGTCACTTAGCCGCTTTCCATCTGCTCAGGTGATGGTTACCCCTATCCATCTGCTCAGGTGATGGTTACCGCTTTCCATCTGCTCAGGTGATGGTTACCGCTTTCCATCTGCTCAGGTGATGGTTACCGCTTTCCATCTGCTCAGGTGATGGTTACCGCTTTCCATCTGCTCACCACCCCCTTCCCCTCTGCTTGCCCTTTCCTTCCCACCTGTTCATCACCTCCTTTCCAACTCCTTGTTGGTGGCAATCGCTGGTGCCCTTTGGGATGGCGTGGAGGTGCGATGCTCTTATCCGTCTCCTCTTCACTCCTCCCCACTCCTGCGCACTCCTCCCCACTCCTTCCCACTCTTCCCCACCGCTTCCAGCCGCTTGGCAACCTGCATGGGGGGGTGTCAGCACTGGTAACGGAGGCAGTGGGCAGTCTAGGCGCTGCCCCTCCTCACTCCTTCCCACTCCTTTCCTTTCCTTCCCATCCCTCCCAGCCGCTTGGCAACCTGCATGGGGGGGTGTCAGCGTTGGTAACGGAGGCAGTGGGCAGTCTAGGCGCTGCCCCTCCTCACTCCTTCCCACTCCTTTCCTTTCCTTCCCATCCCTCCCAGCCGCTTGGCAACCTGCATGGGGGGGTGTCAGCGTTGGTAACGGAGGCAGTGGGCAGTCTAGGCGCTGCCCCTCCTCACTCCTTCCCACTCCTTTCCTTTCCTTCCCATCCCTCCCAGCCGCTTGGCAACCTGCATGGGGGGGTGTCAGTGCTGGTCACGGAGGCAGTGGGCAGTCTAGGCGCTGCCGTGGCAGCTGGTGCGCCGGTGGTGGGGGTGGAAGTGGCGTGCAGTCACCTTAGAGGCGCACCCATTGGCACTCCTCTCGTTGCTGTTGGCACTCCCTTGAGATTCGGCCGCACCGTTCAGGTGTGTGTGGGGTGTGGCAGTGTGTGTGTGGTGTGTGAGTGGGTGTGTGTGTGCGTATGTGTGTGTGGGTGTGGGTGTGTGTGTGTGTGTGTGAGTGGGTGTGCGCCCGTGCGTGTGTGTGATGACGCATTTCAGGCAGATTTAGCCGCAAACCATCCACAAACCATCAAACCATTCACAAACCGTTTATAAACCATTGACACACCACTCAACCTTTCTCAAACCATTCACAAATCCAGGTGTGGGAGGTCCGCCTGTCAGCTTTAAGCAACCGTGCGCCAGCACAAGGAGAATCGGCCCCTGTTAGCGTGTTGACGTTTGAGTCAATTCAAAAGGGAACAGCACCACGGCCCAGTCACTCACAGTCACCAGATAGCAATGCAGGACCGAGCCTAGAGCCTCAGCAGCAGCCGTTGCCACCTGATTGCACACCTGAGGGCACACCTGAGGGCACACCTGAGGGTTTTAAGGCTGGCCGGCTGCTGGCAGTGGGGCGTCTGACGTGTGTGCCCTTGCCCCAGAACAGTGGAGGAGGGGCGAATGGGGAGAATGGGAATGTAGGGGAGGCGAATGGGGAGAATGGGAATGGAGGCGGCGAGAAGGGAGGGAACGGGAGTAGAGGAGAAGCATCGAGGAGAGGAGAAAGTGAAGCGTTGGGGAATCGAGAGGAGGGAAGTGGAGAGGCGGAGCAGTGGATTGGAGAGAGTAAGGATGAGCATGAGGGCAAACGTGCCTGTTCCTGCATCGATTTCCCTCCCTTCGACTCGCCTCCCTTCAACCATCTGCCCATTCACAAGTTCATCGGCCTTCGCTTCCTTTCTGCCTGCCCTCACCGCGTCGTCGCAGCGTTTGTCTCGTCTCCAGCAACCGCGCAGGTACTGCTGCTGGCTGGTCAAAAGGCAACCGCGCAGGTACTGCTGCTGGCTGGTCAAAAGGCAACCGCGCAGGTACTGCTGCTGGCTGGTCAAAAGGCAACCACGCAGGTAATGCTGCTGGCTGGTCAAAAGGCAACTGCGCAGGTACTGCTGCTGGCTGGTCAAAAGGCAACCGCGCAGGTAATGCTGCTGGCTGGTCAAAAGGCAACCGCGCAGGTACTGCTGCTGGCTGGTCAAAAGGCAACCGCGCAGGTACTGCTGCTGGTTGGTGTCTGTGTATGTCGATGCCTCTCATTCACTCTCTTGACCCCTCTCCTCCCCCGCGTTCCCCTCATTTTCTCTCATCCCCTCTCTCTCCCTAATGGTCCGTATATTGATAAGCCAGGAGGGTACAAGCATCCCCCCCCCCCCCCCCCCCCCCTCTCTCTCTCTCTCTCTCTCTCTCTCTCTCTCTCTCTCTCTCTCTCTCGTTCTCTCATTCTTTCTCTCAATTGTTCTCGTCCCTCCTCTTCCCCCAGCCCTTCAGCAACCTGAAGGTGAGGGGGGGGTATCAGCCCTGTTCAAAAAGTCTGTGTGGGAGTAACCCTAGCAGCAGCAGGGGCGATGGCAGGACTGGTAGCAGGCATTACAGGGACGATGGCAGGACTGGTAGCAGGCATTACAGGGACGATGGCAGGACTGGTAGCAGGCATTACAGAGGCGATGGCAGGACTGGTAGCAGGCATTACAGGGGCGATGGCAGGACTGGTAGCAGGCATTACAGGGGCGATGGCAGGACTGGTAGCAGGCATTACAGGGGCGATGGCAGGACTGGTAGCAGGCATTACAGGGGCGATGGCAGGACTGGTAGCAGGCATTACAGGGGCGATGGCAGGACTGGTAGCAGGCATTACAGGGGCGATGGCAGGACTGGTAGCAGGCATTACAGGGACGATGGCAGGACTGGTAGCAGGCATTACAGGGGCGATGGCAGGACTGGTAGCAGGCATTACAGGGTCGGACGACTAGACGGCAAGCCTTGCAGCAAGGGGGGCAGAGGCAGAATGCCAAGGACACACCCCTCCTCACTATCACACTCCCCTGTCATCCGCTACCCCTCCTCACTATCACACTCCCCTGTCATCCGCTACCCCTCCTCACTATCACACTCCCCTGTCATCCGCTACCCCTCCGTCCCCTCCCCCATCCCAGGCGTTCAACAACGTGCACGGGGGAGTGTCAGCCATAGTCACGGAGACCCTCGGCAGCACGGGCGCGAGCCTAGCAGCAGGGGGGCTGGTGGTGGGAGTGGAGGTGGCCGTCAGCCATCTCAGGCCGTGCCCCCTCGGCACTCCTGTTATCGCTGTCGCTGTGCCGCTGCGAGCGGGGCGCACGGTGCAGGTAGGCGGGGCAGCAGCAGGTAGGGATTAACAGACTCGCAGCAGGTAGGGCAGTGGCTGCTCGGGGGCTGGTGGTGGGAGTGGAGGTGGCCGTCAGCCATCTCAGGCCGTGCTCCCTCGGCACTCCCGTTGTTGCTGTCGCTGTGCCGCTGCGAGCGGGGAGCACTGTGCAGGTAGGCGGGGCAGCAAGTAGGGATGATCACACTAGTAGCAGGGGGAGTGGAGCACCTAGCAGCAAGGGATGCAGTGGCAGGAGTATAGGTGGCCACCAGCCACAGCCTAGGCCGTGCTCCCTCGGCACTCCCGTTACCACTGTTGCTGTTTGTCTGCTCCTGATTGTGCAGATAGTGAGGGCCAGCAGGTAGGGGCAATTAGGAGGGTTTAAGGGGACCAGCAGGTATGCTGTCTTCAGGAATTGTTGCTTGTTTTCACCCACTGCTTTGAGGTGTATTTTGAGGCGCCTCAAAATACACCTCAATGCACGCGGATTGTTGCTTGTTTTCACCCACTGCTCTGTGACACTTTTTGGGTCGGCTCAAAAGACAGGCATGTACTCACTGCTTCCTCGTGTCGCCCACTGCCTCTCATCTCCCTTCATTGCCTCTCAGGTGTGGGAGGTGCGCTTATCCGTCCAAAAGCCAGACAAACAGAGGCGAGACGAGCAGCAGGGTGTGGGAGACGCGTCTGGAGGGACGGCTTCAGCTCCTAGAGCTGGGCAGCTGCTGGCAGTGGGACGGCTGACAGCAGTGGTGGTGGGCAAGGGGGATGGCGAGGAGAGGAGGAGCAAGGCAAGGCTGTGAATGGAATTGTGGTGACTCCAAGTGGTGCAGTCGATTGGTATCGCCTGGCTAAAGAGAATGAGGGGCTGCAGGCAGTGGGGCGGCTGACAGTGGTGTGGTGGTGCTGGAGAAGGGAATGGGGAGGAAAGGAGGAAGGTGTTGGGCTGAAAAGGCCCTTAGGATCTTTTCAGGACTAAACTCCTGGTAGGACTGATGTAATAGCGGAAGCGTTTAATGAAGAGTTGTGAACCACCTTGCGCTGGTATGTGAGGGCAAAGTAGATTGATTAAAACAAAGAGATACAAGCTTTTATAAGAGTACAAGGGAATATGAAGGGTTATAACTAATAACTGTTTTGCTGTTGTTGCGGTTCGATACAGTGACGACCCGGGCAACTGCTCAATAGCGAGTCAGTTGTTTGTCCTTGCTGTCGCGCTGTACTTGTCAGGTCAAAGCTCGCTGACCTTTGACTTTCGCGTAACCTCCAGCAGTTGCTCAACCTCCGAGGGTTGACTATGTTGTGCTTCGCTTCTGACTTGGTGTTTCGACACGACAGGGGCGCATAAATCAATTGTTTCCAACACTCCCCTTCGCTTCTGGAGTGTCGCTGCTGGTGACGTGGCTCTGTCCAGTCAGCAGCATGCAGTACTCGAACTTCTGTTTTCCGAGTTTCTTGGTCAAGTAATCAGCTGCCATCTCGGACGTGGGGCAGTAGGATAATTCGAGTCTCCCCTTCTCGATCTCGTCTTTCACGAAGAAATATCGCAGGGCGATACGCTTCGTCCTGTTCGCGAATCTGTTTTTGTTGGCTATGCGAATTGCCGACTAGTTGTCGCAGAACAGAGTGAAGCTGGGTAACTGAGGCAGCTTCGCTTCCTCCAAGAGTTCGCGAAGGTACAATCCTTCCTTGGTGGCTGAGCAGAGTGCGATATATTCTGCTTCAGCTGAGGAGAGAGCGATTAATTCCTGCTTGCTTGACTGCCATGAGATAGGTCCGATAGGCTCGAGGCGGTAGATGTAGCCTGTGCGCGAGCGCCTGTTGTCAGAATCTCCGGCGTGGTCGGCGTCGACGTAGCCGATTAACTTAGGCGTTGTAGTTCCGTTCTTGTAGTAGGTCAGGCCGATCGCTGGCGTGCTAACGAGGTAGTGAAGAGCGCGGTCGAGCTCCGCCATGTGTTCAGCTTCAGGCCTTTTAAGGTAGGTGGCGAGTTGACTTGCAGAGTATGATAGGTCCGGGCGGCAGGTGACAGCTGCGAAGAGAAGGCATCCCAGTTTCCTCTGGTAGTCGCGTATCCCGGCAGGCTTGAGTAGAGTGGACCTTTCCTTGTGATTTCCTGCCGTGTAGTGATATGGCGTAGAGATGATAATTGGCGTGAGTGCGAAGCGTTTGGCGATGGTGTCGGCGTATTTTGCGGCGTTGAGGTAGATCGCGCTTTTTCCTTCCTGGATGTTGAGGCCGAGGTACTGCGTGACGGTAGATGAGACTGTGATCGTGAGGTCTTTCTGTAACTCCCCTTCGAACCAGGTGGTGACGTTGTCGGTCGACCCGATGTAGAGTAGATCGTCTACGTAGACGATTAGTAGAATATAGTCGTCGCCTTTCGTGAGCCGGTACATGCCTTGGTCGTGCGGTAGCTGCCGGAATCCGATGCGAGTAAGTCGAGCGTGTAGGTACTGCTGCCACAATCTCGGGGCTTGTTTGATGCCGTAGAGCGACTTCAACAGCTGACAGACGTGATTAGGTTCTCTGTTGGAACCATGTGGTAGTTCGACGAAGATTTCTGCGTCGACAGGTGCGTAGAGGAATGCATTGGCGACGTCAATTTGCCGCAGTTTCTTCTTCTTCATGGCGGCGATCGCGAGGAGAATTCGCAGCGAGGTGTGTCGGCTGATCGGGGCGAATGTCTCGGTGAAGTCGCGTCCGTGCTCTTGGTCGAAGCCGCGTACGACCCAGCGCACCTTAAACTTGTCGATGGTGCTGTCTGCCTTTGTCTTCACACGGAAGACCCATTTCCCGGTGAGTACTGTCTTGTTTCGTGCCACGCCGATGGGAACGAATTTCCAAGTGTTGCGTTCTTCCAGTGCTTTCAGTTCCTTGTCCATGGCTTCGCGCCATTTTTCCCTATGCTTCCCCCCCAGAGCCTGCTGAACTGTGGCAGGCTCCTTAGGAATCTCAGTGCCGTGGACCACGGTGACGAGGCCGAGTATCTGGAGGCCACTCTGTGTGTAGCGGGGGGGTGTTGTGTCCGCGGGATAAGCTGCTTCGTCACCTGCTTCTGGGTCAGGTATGAAGTTAGGCCCTATGCGTTCTGCTTCGTTGGTGTTGACTTCTGCAGGTGTAACGTAACCGTTGTCGGCGAAGTGGTAAAACACTTCGGCGTTGATGCTGTCGCGAGGATTTTCGTCATCCATTGGGACGTCGACGGAGCAATAAGGGAGAGGTCCGGCTTCCTCCGAGGCTGCATCCATGTTCTGCTCGTCCCAGTCAGCTTCGTCTGCTGCCGAGGCGAAGGCTCGGTCACCACGGAAGCCACCTGTGGGGTCCCGATCTTCTTCCAGGTTGGCAAGGTACGTCGGAAGGGTGAGTCGTTCGTAGAAAATGACATCACGTGCTGCTACTGTTTCCTTGGAGTGGACGTCGAAAATCTTCCACGCGTTGTAATTTCTTTCGATGCCCAGGTGTAGTCCCCACTGTGCGCGTTGGGAAAATCGGCCGGCTCGTGCAGATGGGGGTCGGTACTGTACCATGCAGCCGAAAACTCTTAACATTTTTGTGCTGCCCTGTTTTCGTGTCCACAGCAGATGCGGTGATGCGTTGTTCGGGAGCGATGATGACGAGAGCAAGTTGTGCAGCATGACTTCGGGAGGTGAGCAAGTTGTGTGTGGTCCATTGCTTCGGGCCACTGGTGGTTGGGCAGTCGCATGCCTCGTAGCAGTTTGCGCATGGTGTTCTGGAGAGTCCTGTTCATCCTTTCTGCTACGCCTTCTTGCTGGTGAGCGTAGGGAAGGGAGATGAGCCTCTTGATCCCTCTTTCTGCCAAGTACTGCTTGAACCTCTGTGAGGTGTATTCTCCTCCTTCGTCTGACTGGAAGCTTTTTAGCTTCACGCCCGATTCTCGTTCTGCCACTGGGAGCCAAGCGACGAAGGCTCGAAGGCCATGTCCTTGCTCGGTAGGTTGAGGTGCCAAACGTAACGCGTAGCGGCATCGATGAACGTGATGGTGTAGCTGTATGCACCTTGTCCAGGTTCGCGGTTGTACAGGATGTCGCTGTACACTTTCTCGAGTGGTGCGTAAGCTGGTGCGCTGGGATTGTGGTGAGAAGCGAACGGCCGATGTGGTAAGTCAGCTTCGGGGCAGGTAAAGCACGTTCCGCGAGCTCGTTGAAGTTAGCTTCCGTCGGTTAGGAGCAGTGAATCTTTATCGAGCACGCCTGCTCTGATTGTGTTGTTTAACACCGTGTTGCTTGGATGTCCCATTCGTGCGTGCCAGATGTCTTCGGTGGCGCGATGTCCGGGTGAGCGCCGATATATGTCGGACTTGGAGTAAAAACTAGCGGTGAAGTTGGCGCTTCGATGGACTTCCCGTTGAGTTGGGTTCAGCTGCTGCGCAGGAGTTGGTGAAGTGTCGTCGATCGGTGCCGTTGAAGGACCAGCGATTGGTGTTGATGTTGCCGTTGCTACTACCGTTGTTGTCTCTGCTGCTGCCGGTGTTGTCTCTGCTGCTGCCGATGTTGTCTCTGCTGCTACTGATGTTGTTTCAATTGTTGCTAACGCTCTTGTTCGTTCTGCCTCAGGGATGGTGTGCGAGTACCAGAAGCCTTCGGGACTGAAGTCGGGGTCAAGATCTGGTGGGTGTGTCCAGGAGGTGAAGGTGACGATCCCGTCGCTGTCAGCGGTGCCGAGATCTGGGACGAAGTCGAGGACGAAGACGTTATTCTTCAGAACTGCCTTGCCGATGTAGAGACCGCCCTTCCCGTGGTATAACTTGAACTCCTGAGTGGTGCTATCTGCTTCGAGGTGGATGCCCTTCGCGATCAGTTGACTGACGCTCAGTAAGTTGTAACCGAGCCCTTCTGCTATTAAAACCTTCGACATCTGCAGTATGACGTTTGTTTCTCGTGACTGAAGTTGCACTACACCTTGTCGTCGTGTGCGCAGGTTCTGATTGTTGGCGATGGTGATGGCGACCTCGCGTTGAAGTTGGTGTTTGCGTTGAACAATGACAGAATTAGCAGTCAGAAGGAGAAATGAACAAAGGAGAGTTTGCACTAGCAGCAGCAGGAATACATATAGGAAACCCTAATTGGGTTGTACTCGCTATAGAGTACCCACTGCAGGCTAGACAATGATAACATTCTGACACACCCCCATAGTCAAAGTGGGGTATAATCAGTAGAACAAGCAGACATAGAGCAGGTTCACAAATATAAGCAAAGCTAGAGGTGATCACAGAGGGCAAGTGAGGAGGAGAAATCGTGAAGGGAGAGAAGATGGGAGACGACGACGGAAGCTGCAGACACACGGGCAACAGGAGGATTGGCACAGTGGCTACCGAGCGCACGAGGGCACCGGACTACGGGAGTATCTGGCTCCGCGGCTACGACAAGCGGCAGGAGCAACGGACCCACAGGCGACTGGCACAGCAAGGCTCTCTGGGCTACCGAGAGCGCGAGGGCTCCGGACTACAGGCGCTGCACACGACACGACGGCGGCCTCCTCTCAGCCTCCCCAAACAGTCCCAACTCCCTTCCACACACTCCCTGCTGCACCCCTAGCTCCACTCCCACGTCACCCCCCTAGCACCACTCCTTCGGCTCCCCACACACACACCCCCCTGAGCGGCAGCTGCAGCAGCGGGAGACGGAGGAGGAGGAGGAGTAGGGGACGGCGCACACAACGGGCACCCCCACAACCGCCACCCCCACACTCCTCACCCCAAAACCCTAAGACGGGTCGCAAGGGGTAGGAGCGCGGGGAACGGCGGGGGGGACGGCGCGCGGCCCCCAGGGCGCCACCACGGGGCAGCAGGGGGCCGCGCGCGGCTCCCCAGGGCAGCGCGACGGGGCAGCGGGGGGTCGCGCGCGGCTCCCCAGGGCAGCGCGACGGGGAATCGGGGGCCGCGCGCGGCTCCCCAGAGCGTCGCGACGTGACGACGCGAACGGGGGGGGGGGGGACGCGCGGCCCCCGTGGCGCCACGACGGGCGACAGAAGGGGGGGGACGCGCGGCCCCCTAGGCGCCTCGACGGGCGACGGGATGGGGGGGACGCGCGGCCCCCGCGACGCCACGACGGGCGACGGGAGAGGGCGCCACGAATGGCGACGGGATGGCGGGGGGGGCGCGCGCGGATCCACCGTGTAGAAAACCGCCGCGCGCCTCGGGGCGCACGGCGGGCAGAAAACCGCCGCGCGCCCCGAGCGCACGGCAGGAAGAAGACGGCGCACGCCCGAGGCGCGCGAGAAGCAGAACAGCAGCGGAAGCAGTTAGGTGGCGGGCCCACCCACAGGATCGACCCAAGGGGGTCGACCTGCTCTGATAGCATGTCAGAAGTAGCAGTCAGAAGGAGAAATGAACAAAGGAGAGTTTGCACTAGCAGCAGCAGGAATACATATAGGAAACCCTAATTGGGTTGTACTCGCTATAGAGTATCCCACTGCAGGCTAGACAATGATAACATTCTGACAAACAAAGCGTCCTGAAGAGCACATGTGCTGTCCGCAGCAACTGTCCAAGAACCACGTATCTTTCCCGGACGGCTCGCTTTGAGCGATGGCTGCATACGTCGGATTTGGTTGAAGTGACTCGCGGCGAGGCGTGCTGTTGTCGAGTTGCTCTTCTGGTGAGTAATGCGGTGGTGACTCTGTGATGCAGGAGTCGGTTAGCCGTGCCATGCAACTGACGATGTTCTTGTTCCTTGCGCAGATTGTCCCGTCGATATTGTTGAAGTTTGGATTTGAGTGGTCGGGTTCGCTTGCGTTGAGGCGACTTGACAGCTTGAAGGGCGAAGCGGCCGCTGCGTTGGCGTTGACTGCTGCCGGTATGGGCAGTGTGTATGGGGGTGACCTGGCGTTTTGCAAAGGTGACAGAACGGAGGTACTGGTTTCGGTTGATGCCGGTTGTTGTTGTTGTTGTTGTAGCGCCGTTGAGTGTGGAATGCGAATTCGGGCACTGATGCCTTCCTCTTGTGTCGTTCTTCTTGCAGGTCCATATCTTGTTGCTCGGCGTGGATCTCGGCGCAGAGTGCTGCTTCTGATATTTTTCCATGAGCTCGGAGTGTGGCGCGAGTGGAGCGCCACTGAGGACCGAGGCCGCCGATGATGACTGTGACGAAGGCGTCTTCTGAAATCGACCCTCCGCATCGAAGGAGTTTGTCGCGCAATTCGCGACAGCGGCTGATATACACCATCCCCTTTTCGCCTGGTTTCATTTCGACGGTTGTCAGCTGCGCCATTAACCGACTTTGATTGACGCTGTCTGTTGCTTGATACAGGTTCTTCAGGTGGTTGTACGCGAGCTCTGCAGAGTTGCCGTATCCCCGGTAAGACCGTATATTCTGCTGCTGATTCGGAGTGATGTTTCTCAGTAGTATTGTGTACGCGATCATTGACTGATACGTGCACTGCTGCTTGTCGTACTGTGTGCCATGTGTTGGGTATGGCAGGGACCCGTCGAAGAAGCCAAGGATCTGCGCTCCTTCCATCATCAGCTCGAACTCGAATGACCAGGTAAAGAAGTCATTTCCGTCGAAAGGCCTTGTCGTTTGCAGTTTTAACACATGCGCGAACTGCGACTGAACTTGAAGTGCGTCCAGTGTCTTCTCTTGTCCAGGTGCAGGCTGCGGGTGTGGCATAAAGCTGATGGAGCCGCGCTGGGGCTCGTACGGAGCGAAGGTATGCTGTTGCTGTTGATTTCCGCGCGCGTAAGACGAGCCATCGAGACTCATGGGTGTCACGTCGTTGTTGTTGTTGCTGTTGTTTGACTGCGCAGGTACCCCTTGCTGGTGTTGTTCGTAGAAGGACATGAAGGAGAAGAACTTCTCCATCATGCTTGGGTCGAAGCCCGCGGCTTGGTTTGCGGGAGTTTCGGTAGATGTTGCCATTGGTCTTGTTGCCGTACCCTCCTCTGTCTGTAGGCCAGAGGCAGGAGGTGGAGTAGGAGTAGTACCGGGAGAGCCGTTAGAGGAGCTTCTCTCCTTCTGCGTTGCCATGCTTTCTGATGTTGTAGGTGTCTTGATAGTGGAATTTGTCCTGACCGCTCTCATGCCATGTTGGGCTGAAAAGGCCCTTAGGATCTTTTCAGGACTAAACTCCTGGTAGGACTGATGTAATAGCGGAAGCGTTTAATGAAGAGTTGTGAACCACCTTGCGCTGGTATGTGAGGGCAAAGTAGATTGATTAAAACAAAGAGATACAAGCTTTTATAAGAGTACAAGGGAATATGAAGGGTTATAACTAATAACTGTTTTGCTGTTGCTGTTGCGGTTCGATACAGTGACGACTCGGGCAACTGCTCAATAGCGAGTCAGTTGTTTGTCCTTGCTGTCGCGCTGTACTTGTCAGGTCAAAGGTCGCTGACTTTTGACTTTCGCGTAACCTCCAGCAGTTGCTCAACCTCCGAGGGTTGACTCGCTGATGCTTCGATATGTTGTGCTTCGCTTCTGACTTGGTGTTTCGACACGACAGGGGCGCTTAAATCAATTGTTTCCAACAGAAGGCAAAGCTGCGATGGAATGGTGGTGACGCGTAGTGTATTCTGAACATGATCAATATTGTATTATCCCACCTTCCCTAGTCTATATCTTGTAACAATTCCAACAGTGAAGTGAACCCCTTCCTTCTCCCAAAACTCTCTAGTCATGCTCCTAGGCTATGGTTTTTCTATTTAAGGGCTAAGCTGTACCAGTAATACAATACAAAATGTAAGTTATGAAAACATTGCTGATATCATACATACATGTACCATGTTACAGAGTTACCAGGCAAGGTGTTCGGGTCTCAACTGGCAACCCCCATTCTGGGTACTAACACCAGCCAGCGTCCCATTACCAGTCAGCGCAGCAAAATATGCAAACGTGCTTATATAGGGGCCAGCCTCTATTATAGCGCGCGACTTTGACATCATAAAGAATTCCGCCATAGTGGGGAGGCCTCTATCGAGGCTCCCAGGGCTTGCTTTAGACGTGTGGTAGATGTCTCCTGCTGAAAAATACACCGCTCCGAGTGGCTTCAATAGAGTCACAAATTCCACTCTATGCTCGACGTCATCTGTTGCCAGAAATATGCTTAATTCTTCATCCTCCTCTCCTTCCTCCTCTTCCTCCTCCCCGTCCCCTCCCTGCTTCCCTTCTTGCCCCCCCACCCCTCCTGTCCCCTTTCCCCCATCCTGTAAGCCTTCTTTCCTTAGCTGCTTTTCTGCTTGCCTCCTTTGCTGCAGCAGGGTTGGTTTCAGCTCCCGAACCAGGTGTCCAATGCAGGCCCACAGGCACGTGCGCAGGTACGGTGGCCGGACCACTGCGGCTCGGTCCCAGTCCTCGCACTCCCCTTTAAGGTACCCCTCTGTATCGCTCTTCACCGCTTTCTCTACTGCTAGAGAGCGTGTGCGCACGTGCAATGCTATATCAAAGAAAGCTACTGCCTTGCTGGGTGGTAGGAGGAGGAAGGGAGGGAGAGCGGGGACGGAGGAGGGAGGGGTTGAGGATCCTGCGGTTGCTGTGGTGGTTGCTGCATTACTAGCAGCACTGGCAGCAGCAACAACAGTAGAAGAAGAGGAGGGGTTGGAGGAAATGGGTTGGCCAGGAGGGGTGGATTGGTGGAGGATTGCGGAGATGGTGGTGAGAAGCTTCTTGGAAGGTCCCCTTTGGCCGATGAGTGCGAACATGGCTCGGGAATGCACGCACCAGAGGGAGCTGGGGGCGAGAAGGGGGGGAGTGAGTGAGGGAGTGAGCGGGAGTGATCTTTAAGTCGACTAAGAAACCACATGGCTCGGGAATGCACGCACCAGAGGGAGCTGTCAGAAAAGGGGGGTTGAGTGAGTGCGAGGGAGTGGGGGGTGCACGAGGGAGTGTGGGAGAGAGGGGGGAGTGAGTGAGGGAGTGTGGGGGGAACAGGGCCGAGTGAGTGAAGGAGTGAGGAGGAGAAACGGTCGGAGTAAGTGAGGAGAGAGGTGGATTTAAGTGGAGAGAGGAAGGGAGTGCAGGGAGTGTGAGAAACAAACCAGGAGCACAAGAGCGAGTGAGTGGTTTAGGGTGACAGCAGAAAGGAGCATTACAGAAGAGATGAGCAGGGGCAGGGTGAGGGTCAGGTAGAGGGCGAGGGTGAGGTGGAGAGGGGCAGGTAGAGGGCGAACTGAAAAGCGCCAAACTGAGTAGGTAGGACCTGATGGATATTCATCTGAAGCGCACCTGCACCTGAAGGCAGCATAGACGCAGCTCCTGAGAGTGTCGTTGCGATGCCAGAAGAGGTCAAAGTGAGAGCCAGTGCGAGCCCCGAAGATGGGATGGGTGGAGGCGAGGGCATTCCTCATTGCTGCACACAATTAGAGTCACAGGCACACAGGCACACAGTCATTCATGTGATTAGTTAGGAGACTCGGAAAAAGCCTTGAGGATGGGATGGGATGAGACGAGGGCGTCCCACGTTGCTACAATGAACGAGCCAGAGACAGGTACCGGCGCTTACAAGCATACAGTCATGCACGTGTACAGGCACAACTGTTTTGAAAGACACACGTGCACAGGCTTCAGATCCTTCAGGCATGGTAAGGAGGGATATATGATTTAGGGTGTTCTTGAGAAATATCAAATGCACCCTGCGACTTCAATCCCGTCAGGCATGGGCACGTATGGAGAGATATTAGCTTTGCGCACCTGGAATGCTCTTGATGCTTTCCATGAGATATTTGGGCTGCAGCTCATTGAACTGCATATCTTTTACATTCTCCCTCTCACACGCACATGCCCCTCCTCTCACACGCATACACACCAACCCACCTGGAATGCTCTTGATGCTTTCCATAAGATATTTGGGCTGCATTTCATTAAATCGCCGATACAGCTCCATCGGCAACAGCATTCCCCCCTCCCCCACTGCTCCCCCTCCCCCACCCTCCGTTCCATTCCCTCCTCTCCCTCCCCCTCCTCCTACCCCTCCTCCTACCCCTCCTCCTACCCCTCCTCCTACCCCTCCTCCTACCCCTCCTCCTCCCCTGTCTCCTCCGTCTTCTCTCCCTGCTTCTCCCGCCCCTCCACCGTCCCCCGGCCCGCCCCATCGGACCCCGTCAAACCCGCAGTGAAACGCGTGGCACAGCAGGTCATACACCTTGTGGTGCTCCCCTGCGTGCAGGGTGACTAGCCGTCGCCCCGCCAGGCGTGCGAACACGAAGGCGGACACGAAGCCACGCAGGGAGTTGCCGAGGCCGTGGCGAGCCAGGAAGACCAGCGAGCGGAGTGACGGGCGGGAGAGGTGGGCCAGGCGGGAGATGGGCTGGCTGCTGGTGTGCGGGGGGGTGGAGAGGGGAGGGAGTGGGAGGGGAAGGAACAGGTGAGAGGCGTGGCTCAAGCTCACAGCAGCAGCAGCAGCAGCAGGTCATACACCTTGTGGTGCTCCCCCGCGTGCAGGGTGACTAGGTGTCTTCCTGAGAGGCGTGCGAACACGAAGGCGGACACAAAGCCATGCAGGGAGTTGCCGAGGCCGTGGCGGGCCAGGAAGACCAGCGAGCGGAGGGCAGGGCGGGAGAGGTGGACCAGGCGGGAGATGGGCTGGCTGTTGCTGCCCGGGGGAGAGAGAGGGGCGGGCAGGAGGAGGGAGGGAAAGAGAGAGATGAGAGGCGTGGCACAGAGGCACAGCAGCTGGTCATACACCTTGTGGTGCTCCCCCCCGTGCAGGGTGGCCAGGCGCCTCCCCTGCATGCAGGGTGACCAGCCGCCTCCCCGCCAGGCGTGCGGGAGAGGTGAAAAGGCGGGAGATGGGGTGGCTGCTTTTGCCCCGGAAGGCGGACAGGGGAGTGGGAAAGGGATGGGAACGAGGAGACGGGGGAGAGAGTGGGAAAGCGGGTGTGGGTGGGGAGTGGGTAAAGGGGTGCGGGGGTAGGGAGAGCACATATATGTACTGGGAGAGTGCCCCTTAACAGCCCCCTGACAGCCCCCTGACAGCCCTTTGACAGCCCCCTGACAGCCCTTTGACAGCCCCCTGACAGCCCCCTGACAGCCCCCTGACAGCCCCCTGACAGCCCCCTGACAGCCCCCTGACAGCCCCCTGACAGCCCCCTGACAGCCCCCTGACAGCCCCCTGACAGCCCCTGACAGCCCCCCTGACAGCCCCCTGACAGCCCCCTGACAGCCCTGTAGGTTGCCATCTGGCATACCTTTTCTCATCCTCCTCCTCTGCTGCAACGTCCCTCGGGAATATCCCGCGACACAGCTTCTCTTGGGACACACGGATCGCCACGTCCTCCAGGTACTCTCTCTGCCAATCCCACTGCTCCACGTGTACAGCCTCATCCGCCCTTCCCCCACCCTCCTCCCCCGTCTGTCCCTCCCCCGACCCACTTACTCCCCTCTCTCCCTCTCCTCCTCCCCTCTCCTCCTCTCCTCCTCCCCTCCCTCCGCCTTTATTCGTCTCTAAACCTCCCAGTTTCTCTCCCCTCTGCCCTTCCATTCCCCTTTTCCCTCCCCCTCCCTCTCTTAGCCGTTGCAATCCGCTCCTTGCCTCTCCTCCTGCCTCGTCTTTTTTCCCTATGCGAGTCCCCTTCTTATACACAGTAACGGGGACGTCTCTCACATGCTGTGAATCCTCTGCTCGTATCAACCGCGTTCCCCCTCCCTCTCCCCTTCCCCAAGCGCCTCGTCGCTGGAAATAATCCTCCTCAACTCGTAGCCCTCTTCCTTGCCTAGCGACGGATGCGACGGATGCGACACGTTCCCCCACCACTGCGACAGGACCGTCGCGCGGGTCGCCAGCAGCGTCGCACGGCGGGCTGGCGACCAGAGCACCGGGTAGTAGTACCCTGGGAGTGGGAGAGTGGGTGAGGTGAGCAGGAGGATGAGAACGAAGGTGATATTTGAGTTGAGCCAGCTCTAAAGTCTTTTGAGTTGACTCAAGCGTCGGATGGCGGGCTGGCGACCAGAGCACCGGGTAGTAGTACCCTGTGAGTGGGACAGTGAGTGAGGTGAGCAGGAAAATGAGAACCATACAGCATCCCACGGGGGCGACTGAGGACGGTGGCGACTGAGAGGGCGGTCGCGAGCAAGGACGGACGACAACAACAATGACCTTCCACACGAATCGAGGCTCACCTGCGACGTTGGAGAGCGCGAGCAGGAGGAGCACGGGCAGCAGGCGACGGTAGCGAGCAGTAGCGAGTGAGGGAGGTGGGGACTGAGGGCGGTAGCGAGTGAGGGAGGTGGGGACTGAGGGCGGTAGCGAGTGAGGGAGGTGGGGACTGAGGGGGGTAGCGAGTGAGGGAGGTGGGGACTGAGGGCGGCAGCAAATGAGTCGAGACTCACCTGCGATGTTGGAGAGCGCGAGCAGGAGCAGCACGAGCAGCAGGCGACGGTAGCGACCGAGCGCGCCGAGAAACGCGGAGACGACAGGCGCGGATGTGGAGGTGAGAGAGGCGGAGCGAGGGAGAGGACTTAAGACGGAGGGACGTGACGCGGGTAGGCCCTTGATTTTGACGCGCCGCGGTGGCATGGCCGTTGATACCATTTGAAATCAGGCCGAACAGAGGCAATTTGCGGAGATTGAGGCTGCTGATTTTCACACCAGGACTCAGCGTGGAACCAAGATCCGAAGTATATTAGGATCCTAACCAATTCTCAAGTTTGTTTCTTTATATATTTCGAATCTAAGAGATTCCATGAGGTTGAGAATTGAGAGGAGGCCTAGAAAGAGCTTGAGCACTTGCTCCTTGCACATATACGGGACGCGAAACGAACTGCAACAGGGAAAGGTGAGATGACGACCTTACCGGAGCCCTTCGCGGGCGAAGCTAAGACTAGCAGAGCGCATCAGGGACTCGAGCAGACTTTCCCTCAGACGGCCATGAATCCATGATGATTTCGAAACAAAGTGTTGGCCATATTAGGTCTCGCGTTTATGATACTATTCTGTGTGTAACTGTAGAAACCCTATTACTAAGCTAGAACCTCTTCAACTTACGTGTGTGGTTCATCTATGAAGTTCATTTTGTTCTCTATGAAGAAAGCCCTTTGATATTTTTTTTTTTTAACAATTCAAAGTGTCTTAATAGATGCTGAGATCAGAAGTTGATCGTGGCCTAGGATCTACTCAGGAAGGTTCGCACGCAGAGAAGTGATGTTGGTGGGCCCTTGACCTCAATAGCAGAGTGAATGTAAATGCTTGAGATAATTAAGACATGCAAATACAACGATATAAATAAGAGTACAGGGGAATATGAATCGACCTAGCTAGCCATGTACTCTAATGGGTACATTCCCTTATTCAAATACATTCCCAACCGTGCGGCGCGAACAGTTACGAAACTGTTCCCGCCGAAACCATCCTGCCTGCAGCTGCCTGATGCTGTCTGCTCCGACGGTTCAGATGCGTCCCAACTGTCTGACGCTTTGAGTCGTTTCCAACCGTCTGACGCTTCGCGTTCATTCGCGATACTGCGTGCTTCTCTTTGCTGCAGTGAGGAGTGCACAGTAATATTCAAGTATTACTATTCGTAACACCCCCCTTCACTCCTGGCCGCAGCTAGACTTGACCTGCTTGACCACGCCGCTGAGTTCGGAGCAGTGCTGATACTGCTGGCGTGGCAGTCGCTTCGTGAGGAAGTCTGCTGCCATGTCACCGGTCGGGCAGTAGGTCAAGTTGACCTTGCCCTTGTCCACCTCATCCTTCACGAAGAAGTACCGCAGCGCAATGTGCTTGGTGCGGTTGACGAAACCAGGTTTGTTCGCGATGCGAATCGCGCTCTGGTTGTCGCAGTGCAGGCGAAAGTTCGTTGAGGCCGGAATTTTTGCTTCCTGCAGCAGTTCCTGAAGGTAGAGACCTTCGCGAACAGCTGCTGTTGCTGCGATAAATTCAGCTTCCGCCGATGACAGGGCAACCAACTCCTGCTTCTGAGAGTTCCAGGAGATGGGGCCGCTGGGCTCGAGGCGGAAGAGGAACCCTGTCCTGGACCGTCGATTGTCAGGGTCAGCGGCGTGATCGGCATCCACGTAGCCGACGAGACTGAAGGATGTGGTTGGGATGGTGGAATAACTGAGCCCGACATTGGGCGTGGAGATGAAGAATTGAAGGGCTCGCTGAAGATCTGAGAGATTCTCAGCCGTTGGTTTGCGTGAGTACTGAGCCAACTGGCTTGCAATGTAGGAGAGGTCGGGCCTGCAGGTAACAGATGCGAAAAGCAGGCATCCCAACTGCTGCTGGTAAGTGTGAAGCCCAGCAGGGGACAGGGCTTTGCTGTCAGGCTTGTGGTTGGGTCCTGGAGTGCGGTAAGGGGTGGAGAGTGGTGCAGGCGCAATGTTGAAGCGCTTGCTAAGCTCCTCCGCATACGTCGCTGCTGAGAGATGAATGGCTTCCGGCGAGTACGTGATGTTGAGTCCGAGAAACTGCTTCACGTCATGATTGCAGGTGATGTCGACGCGCCCTGCGAGGCTTCTCTCAAACTACTCGAGTAGTTCGTTGCTTGAGCCTGTGTAGAGAAGGTCGTCGACGTAGACCGTGAGGAGGATGTATTCGCCGCGGAAATCGCGGCGATACATTCCAGGATCGTGAGGCAGCTGCTTGAACCCGATTTCAAGCAGTATGTTGTGCAGATACTGCTGCCAGAGTCTCGGTGCCTGTTTGATCCCATAGAGGGACTTGCGTAGCTGACAGACGCGTGGGTCTCCGTCGCCGTAAGTGTGTGGCTGTTCCACGTAGATCACGGCGTCCACTAATGCGTACAGGAACGCATTCTTCACATCAATCTGCCGGAGTGGTAGGTGTCGTGCGGCTGCGATGGCGAGGAGAATTCTGACGGACGTGTGACGGCTGACCGGTGCAAATGTCTGGTCAAAATCAATCCCGTGCCTTTGATCGTAGCCGCGTACCACCCAGCGTGCCTTGAATCGCTCAATCCTTCCGTCGGCTCTTGTCTTCACTCGGAAGAATCCTTCTCCCCTTTACTGCTGCACGGTCGACGAGCACCCAGGTGTCGCACGACTCGAGTGCCCGAATTTCCGCATCCATTGCTTCGCGCCACTCCTTGCTGTGTGGTCCAGAAAGAGCTTCGCGCGGATTTCGGGGCTCGATGACACGTGGCGCCTTCGAAGTTGCGGTGTGAAGCCCGAGCAGCTGCAGTCCTGAGATAGTGCTGTCGTGGCGACGTTGCGGGATGACTTCCTGTACGTCGTCGTCATTGCTTTCTGGTTCAGGAGGCGCTGGTGGTGCTGTGCCTCTGCCGCTTCCACCTGTTCCGCTTCCGCCTGCTGCGCCCATTCCTCCTCCCGAGGAATCGTCGTCGTCGTCGTCGCTGCTGCGTCGTTCTTCCCACACGAACTCGCCCCTCGTGTCCTGCTCCAAGATTGCTGCAGCGGCTTCGTCTTCGGGCGTTGCGTAGCTGTGCCCATCGTTAGCGTAGACGCGGTTCGCGTTCGTTTCTTCGTCGCGGCGGAACTGGTCGAGGAAGAGGCGCTCGTAGAAGATGACGTCGCGAGCGTGAGCGATTTTCTGACTGAGGAGGTCCAGCACGATCCACGCCTTGTACTCATGACTTATGCCGAGGTGGATCCCCCAGCGAGCGCGGCTGGCGAATTTGCCGATGGTTGAAGTCGGCGGGCGGTATTGAACCATGCACCCCCATACGCGCAGCATGGAGGTATCCCCTTTGGTCCCGGTCCATTTGACGTGCGGGGACAGATTGCCGGTGATGGCGGTGGTCGAGAGTAGGTTGTGCACCCGTACTGCGTGGTGCATCGCGTAGGTCCAGTAGATCGGCGGCAATTTCGACTGCTTCATCAGCGCGCGCACCTTCGTCATTAGCGTGCGGTTCGTCCGCTCAGCTACGCCCTGCTGCTGGTGCGCGTAGGGGAGAGAAATATGGTGCTCGATCCCTTTTTGCGTGAGGTAGGTTTGCATCTCGTTGCTCCTGAATTCTGCCGCGCCGTCAGATTGCCAGATTTTCAGCTTCTTCCCAGACTGACGCTCTGCGTGCGCCAGCCAGAGGCGAAACACCTCGTAGGCTCTGTCGCGTGACTCCACGTTCACGACCCACACGTAGCGCGTTCCAGCGTCGATGAAGGTGAGCGTGTACATTTCGTCCTCGGCTCCGCAATGCCCCACGTTCAGGAAATCGCTGTACGCCTTGTGTAGCTTGGGGTAGCGGTTTGTTCCAGGTTCGAGCAGTGGGAACGGTTGGTGGCTCAGCGCAGCTTCGGGGCAGACGGTGCAGTTATGCGGATGTGTCGCGCCTCTCACTTCGGAGCCATCAGGGCGCAGGAGTGCGCCAGGAGCGAAGACGCCTGCGTCGATGCAGTTTTTCAGTGTCGCACATGAAGGGTGTCCGAGGCGCTGGTGCCAGAGAGTATCGTCAGCGCGAAAGCCGGAGGTGCGTATGTAGCGTGCGCGTGCTTCCTCAGGGTCTTCGTCAGGTACAGGAGCAGGTTCTGCTGCTACTCCCTCTGCTTCTTCTTCTTCCAGCGCGGTGGTCAGCATCAGCGCCAAGAACTCTCTGTCACGAATCTCAGAGAGCGGAATGTTGGTCCCGGGGATCGTGCCAAGTACGAACGCCGGTTCGCGTGGCTCAAGGGCAGGTCCGTAGACGGTGCGACGCGGGGTTGACGGCTCGTTGCCCCAGATGATGGTGTCCCATGGATCGCGACGCGGGGGGTTGTCGGGAGGAGGTGGTGCGAGTGGAACGTGACGCGGGGGACGGCCAAGAGGAACAACTGCAGGTGTTGCCTCAGTTTCCTCAGTTTCGTCCTCTCCCCCCTTTCGTTCTTCGCGGAAAGTACCCCAGCCGCTATTGTCGGCGCTAGTTGCGGCGCCCCATCCGCCGCTCGCGTTGGCCCAGGTTCCGCCGGTGTCTCCCCAGCCGCCAGTGTCACTTGTTCCCCATCCTCCAGCGCTTCCCCACCCCCCTTCATTGGAGGCACTTTCTTCAGCCTCGGCTCCCCAGGTGGCGCAAGCGAAGGTTCCACGTGCTTCTGCGAGGCTTTGCTGGCGAAGCTCCTCAGCTTCGCGGCGCGCCAATTCTTCCTCTTGCTCCGCGGTGAGTTTCTTCGATGAGTCGCGTCGATGAGAGTAGATGGCCAAAAACCTCTCGTAGGTGTAGGGTCGCGGCTCGCCATGGGCATCAGAGGTGCCGACGCCGATTCCGCGCAGCATGCCTTGAAGGTGCTGTGAGGGGGGACCGATGAGGGGATGCTCTGGCATGCCGAAGATGCCGTGGGTGGTAACTTCAAGCTCGAGCTGCGTCATCCCTTCCTCTGGGGGCGCGTGGCGCTCTGCTTCAGCGATGGCGGCGAGTCCGCGGCCGGCAATCGCTCTCGTTGATGTCGTCGGCGTGTAACGATCCCTGCAGATGCCATCTGGATCGGGGTTGTGTAACGCCGTTTCGCATGGGTGGGGATGATGCGGCACCCACGGTCTGCCGTCAGGGTGCTTCCAATCCCTGCGGTGGATGTGCTCGAAGCGCAGTGGCACGAGATCGATCAACTCGTGCGAGTCGCCGCTGCAGT